CCGTTATACAGGAGGAGATGTTTCTCCAGCGTTCGTTTGCTGCTTGTGTGGTGCTATTCCTGGCATGTAGCTTGAAAGTGGCCATTGGTATACCTACCATGTCCTTCCCCGGAAGGATGGGGGTGGTCGTCCCATTCCTCGCCAGTTCGTCAGCTTTGCAGTTGCCCTCAATATCTCGGTGTCCAGGCACCCACATGAGTTGTATTCTATAATGCTGGGCCATCTCGTTTAGAGATCTGCGGCATTCAGTGCGAGACTTTGTGTTGTCTACGCATGAGTCTAGAGATTTCAGGGCTGCTTGACTGTCAGAGAAGATAAAGACCTGTCTTTTCTCCTTGGATATACTTGCTAGATACCGAGTGGCCTCGTGGATGGCCAGCACCTCCGCCTGGTATACACTGCAATGGTCTGGAAGGCGAAAAAATGTTTTCAGTTCCAACTCCGGGGAGAAGACTCCTCCCCCGACCTTTCCGTCGAGTTTGAAGCCATAAGTGAACATATTTATAGCGTTGCGTATATGGTGAGGCCTGGTGTCCCAGTTCTTTCGAGTTGGTATGGTAATTATATAGATTTTGGTGAAGGTGTTTGATGGTATGCAGTAGTCTGTACTTGCAGGTATCGGTGTGGGCGCCCTTGTCCCTAGGATTGTCGAATGGCCTGATGGACTATAAGGCCAGAAGCCTGCCTCTCTAAGTCTTAAGGCTGCTATAGTGGCTATTTCCCGAGCTACCAGATCAAGCGGGGCAGATGTAGGACCGCGTTAAGAGCTTCGGTCGGGGAGGAACAAAGAGCTCCACTTATGCATAGCTCTGCACTCCTTTGTACCTTTGGAAGTTGCCTGAGCGCTGTTGTCTTATCGAGCGTAGGCCACCATACTAGGGTTCCGTAAAGCAGAATCGGAATGGTAGTGAAGATCCAGTGAACAATCTTAGGTGAGAAGCCCCACGATACACCGATCGCCTTTTTACATGTGAAAAGTGCTGTGGTGGCTTTCTTGATGCGTTCCATTGTGTTGTCATTCCAGAGCAGTTTGCTGTCAATAACTACTCTAAGATACCTTGCAGTGCGTTTAAATTCCAGGCGTGAGCCATCGAGTTTGGGTGGTATAAGAGCCGGTACTTTGTATCGCCTGGTAAAGAGGACTAGCTCTGTTTTAGCTGGGTTCACCTCAAGACCGATGTTTCTGGTCCAAGTAACGAGTGAGCCAAGAGCAGCTTCTATAAGATCACATAGAGTTTGAGGAAATTTTCCCTGTACGATAACCGCTACATCATCGGCGTATGCGACTACCCCATATCCATCCGCCTCCATGCTCAGGAGCAGTTGGTTCACCATCACTACCCATAGGGGAGAGAACACCCCCCTGCGGAGTGCCCCTACTAACAGACCTACGAGTCGTCTGCCTCCCCCC